AGGGGGAGGAGGAGGAGGAGGAGGAGGAGGAGAAGGACGAGGAGGAGGAGAAACAAAAAGATGGAGAAGGACGTGGCGGTTCGAATCATGTGTCTGGGATGCCCCAAGTATACTGCTTGCACGTTGGGGTGCTGTTTTCGCTTCGGCAACTTACTTCCAGTGGCGACGAGTGTGTGGTCGCCCGTGGCCGCCGCTGTCGCCGCTGGCAAGTGAGCTCGATGGGCGATTCAGCTGGCTCGTGGCCTCCCGTCGACGCTGTGCGTTGCCATCTCTGCAATCGCGCATTACACTGATTTGCATTGTTTGGCATCGTTTTGCATTAAGTGGCACTGCTTTGCATTGAGTTGCATTGAGTTGCATCGCGTTGCCTTGAATTGAACTGCTCTGCGTTGCATTGCGCCGCATTCGTCGTATCGCGGTGCGTTCCATGGCTTTGAATTGCAACTCGCTGCCGCTTTGCATTGCTTTGTATCGCACTTCATTGCTTTGCGCCACATAGGTTGTCGCATGTGGATTGCACCCCCCAGATTGCACCACACTGACTTTCCCTTTCTAGAGGGAGAGGAAGATTCCACCAACTCACCGAAGATGGACTTAAACCCTCACCCTCGCGTATTGCAAGTTGCATGTGATTCTGCCTCATCGTTCATGGCCCATCCGAATTCATGCCATCCTAGACCCACCCGTATCGACCCCCCAGCAAGCTGTATCAAATAATGCCATGCGCGACCGCTTGTTTTCCAAATCCTGTGCCAAACAAAAAGGAGGGAAAGGCACACGCGCGCATAGACGCGCGCGCATGCCGATATCCTTCCAAACCGTCGGTCGCGTAACGATGTCAAAGGCACGTGTCCCGACAAGCCGCCACGGTGCCCACAGGCACGCTCGGGCGTGGTAGCATGCCGAATGCTGCCTGGCAGAACTGACGCAATCTTCCTGTAATGTCGGGGGGGCCCAAAGCGCCTCCCTGGGGCTCCCCGGGGCTTCCGTCACGGCCCACGGGGGGCCCCCAGGACGGGCCAAGGGAGGCCCCGCGCCGCCGAACGACCAGTCGAGAACGCCCAAGATGGCCCATTCAAGATGGCCACAGGATGGCGCAAGGTGCTTGCAAGGCGCCCGGCCAGGGCCCCAAGCAGGTCCCAAGGGGGCCACCAGAAAAGCAACAATCATCGACTGTCTCGGAGGCTTTGGAAGATTGCGGCGCTCTCGCTTGTTCGGTTTTCCGACGCCCAAGTCGGCCCGATCGGCCCCCACGACCATCCCAAAACCACCCAGGCCCCCAAGGGGGCCCCACGACAGCCCAAGACGGCTTCAAGATGGCCCAAAAAGGGGCCCCAGAGAGGGAGCGCGAACCGAAAATCGAATGAGGCCCCAAAGAGGTCCAAAAAGGCCCCCAAGAGGCTCCAAAAGACCCAACACAGCCCCCAACAGGCCCCAAAACTACCTCCCAATAGGCTTCAAATCTGCATCCTGAAGGCCCCGAGAAGCCCCCCATAGGCTTGCAACCCACAAGCCGCAACGTCCAATAGGCTTGTAAACCACAGCCCAGGCACGGTGGCGGGACTTGCCGTAGGCACTTCGAAATAGATATAGCACCCCTCAGATGCTAAGAGTGAGGGGGCGGTGGGGGACGTCGGCAGTTTGCGAGACTCTGGGGAACCCCGCCGCAGCGGGTGGGTCGCGGATGGGTCACCGGGTGGGTCGCGGGTAAGTCGCGTGTGGGTCGCGTGTGGGTCGCGGGTTGGCCCGCGGGTGGGTCGCGGGTCGGGTCGCGGGGTGGGTCGCGGGGTTGGTAGCGGGTGGGGTCGAGGGGTGGGTCGCGGGTTGGTCGCGGGTGGGGCGACGACAACAAACAAACAAACAAACAACGACAACGCAACAAGCATAATCCTCACCACGGATCCCCACTTCACCCACGCACCCAAGGACAATGTATGACCGTTCGGCCCCCTCATTCTGATAAAACCCAATGAGGTTTCAGCATGAACGTTCAAAACAGTTTGCGCGCGTCCTTGCGACTTGAACAACAATCATAGGTTTCCCAACCACTTCATCGAATGCGACCAAACTTGCCACTCGCGCGCGCGTGTCAGAAGCATTCGAAAGCCCCTGCGCGTGCTGGAGGGGGGCACAACCTTTTGTCAAACCATACCAAGCAGGCCTGTCGCGCGCGTCGGCCGCGCGCGCATGTCGAAATCCATTCCAAACTTTCATCGCCGACGCGTGGACACCATCATCGCCACAGGCGTCATCAACATCGGTGCCGTCTTTGGCCTTGCGGTCATCATCGTCATCGCCATCGTCTTCACCAACACCGTTACCATCAACATCGCGTGTGTCATTGCCGACATCGTCATGGGACCACGCCCGCTCGAAGCACCGACTCGCACTGACGTGCCCGGGCGTCTGCACGGTGTGAAAAAACGCACGGATAAGTACCCAGCGGTCAGCGCCACTGCGGCCGCGTCGGTCGCGACAGACTAGCTGGTCGCTTTGCGCGCGGGCCTGTTTGCGCAAGCGCGGCCGCGGCGATGCGTCAGCCAGCGCCAAGCAGCCATCGCAATCGCCGCCGTCTGGGTTGTGCAATCAAGTTGCGGGCGTGTGGGTGGGGTGCCTCCTCGAGTATGGGAGGTGGCCGCGCGCGGGGCAAGCTACTTTCATTGCACCGCGTAAGTTGCACGAACAACCCTCTGGGGTCCACGCTGGCGAACGTTTCGCCCTTTGCGGGCTTGTCCCGGGCCCATGGAACGTGAAACATCGGCAACTGGTCAGGATGGACCCCGAGAAGGTCGAAAGACCGATGTCGATTGGATGTTGATCGGATCCAGACCGCAGGCCCACTCGCATCGTGGAAAAATGGCGGATGTCGGCATTCCTCGGCCCCTGCCTGGGTCCTCACTTACCGGGCCCTGGGATCATAAAATACTGTCCATGGTGAGAAGCTACGTTGGAACACAAATCGCTACGTCGGGAGACTAGGGGGCGGATCGAGAAGTCGGGCGTTTGCGCTCCCCTCCTTCCTCTCTCGGCAAGGACTGGTGTGGGAGCGAACTTTGCAAGGCACTCCAAAACAATGTCAAACATGTCCGTTCATCAGATTCGCACCAGAAAAGTCGCCATGCAGCACGGTCAAGAACCTCACTTCAGCGCGCGCGCTGGGGGCCACAACGACGCGAGCTCATAGGGAAACTCCCTCAGATCAGGGAGGTGCTAGTCCTCCAACCCTTTTGGCGTGTGTGAAGGGCAGCTTTTCCGTTTGAGTCGTCATCGTCGTCGTCGCCGTCGCCGTTGTCGTCGTCAACAACATTGTTGTCGCGACCACCGCTTCCCCTGTCCCTGTCCATGGGCCCTCCTTTCCAAACGTCCCAGCAAAAGAGAAATCGAGCAACGTCGTAATTTGAGCAGGGACCGACCGTCCCGGCATTTCTATAGTCCTACCACGAAATATACTTGGAACAAAATAAGGTTCTTAAAACTTAGGCCTTATGTATTAAAACAAGACGGCCCTAGCCAGAAATGTTCTAAGAACATTCCCTGGAAACCACAAAAGGTTCTTAGAACATTCTTTGGTAGGGCTATAGGCGAGCCAGGACGCGTCGCCACTGCTTGAGTAATCGAGTCGATGAGACGCCCCTTCCCTTTCATCATTTCCCCGTCGGGGGGTCGGTGGGGGGGCTCCTGGGGATTCTGATCCTCCTCCGTGAGGGATCTCCCCTCCCTGGGAAACTTTCCCCTTCGATCTCGGGTTCCCCCTTCAGGGTCGGCGGCACCGGCCGTAAGGCCTTCGCAATATCCGCACCCGTGACTACTGACAATCGAAACTCTTGATGAATAGCCCTGTGCGGTGGGGCGTCGGGTCGCGCACAACCCCCCAGGTAGTCCCCGCTGGCCTCAACAGGCCCTCCAGGCAGTGCCGCAGGACCTCCCAGGAGCCCAGGGCGGTCTGAACACCCCAACCGTGGGGCGCGGAGCGCTCCAAGGGCGCCGTCGGAGGCGGCACCAATGTGTTGAGACCGCCCCGGAATGCGACCCGGATCGCCCTCTGTGCTTCCTGGGTACCCTGGCGCCCCCTTATCCTTCCCTCTTAGAAGCGTCCAGGGTGCAAAGATGATTCCTAAGGCGGTCCAGACAAACAGTCAACGCCGCCAAGATGACCGAAGATTCCTTCAGCACGCACCCGAGAGGGCCCCTCCACGAGGCTGCAAGAGACCTCTTATACGCTCTCCGGGAGGCCGAAACCAAACACACTGTCGTTTCTCAGGTCGTTCAGCTGCTTCCGCTTCCCGCGCGCTTCGGTCGAACATCTGCCTACTGGCGACCCTCCGAGGCACCGACAGACCCCACGAGGGCTTCCGACGACCCAGGACGGCCCCCAGGAGAGCCCGGAGTTGGGCCGACAGGGCGCTCCGAGGGACCCCGAACTGGGGCCCAACAACAGCCCGAAGACGGCCCTATCCCCATCGGGCCCCCCAAACTGCCCCACACGATCCCAATGCCAACCTGAAGACCGCCCCAGAAAACCGAGTGAAAACACCTCGAGAGCAGGAGGCTCGAAGTGTTACATTTGACGGCGTCCCGGGCAGTCCTCAAAGGGCGGCCCAGCATATCGTCTCGCAGGCACGGTGCCAGATGTGCAAAAGCCAACTGGGCAGCAAACCCGCATGCGCGAACCCGTCAACACCTCTGCGCGACAGGGGCCAACTCTTTAAAAGCACACAGACACGTTCTTAGGCGGATCGTGCCCCGTAGGCAACAATCAGAAAGAACAACCTCGGGACCCCATTTCCCCAAAGCCTCTTTTCCTCATGGCAACCCCTTGCCGCCTCCAAAAAAATGTGAAAACCAAAAGGTAGTTACTGATACCGCTACTCCCTTTACCTCTCCCGCGGTGCGTTCTGACCAGGATTTCGAAGCGAATCCTGCGGAGTCGAAGGGGAGGACGACGAAAGGGTAGCAGTACGGGTACCTGTCCTCCTCCAGAGAGAAGGATTAGCCGCGGCCTCCTTCTGCAAGTAGCAGCGGGTTCTGTTGACCTCGGCTGCTGACTCTGGTGTGCGTACTGTCGCGGCCGTCCTGAGCCAAGCT